ACTGGCCTTTTGTTTAAAGCATGTTGAGATCTCCTGATGAACAATGGTCTATAGGAGCTGGGTATTGCTATTCATGTTCATATAGCCAAACTACGCTCTCATGAATGCTCATGAAACCTGTGACTCACCAGGGTTGTGTGGATTTTTCTAATAGGAAAAACTTGGCCCGTGGGACTGGTTCTAATCCTCCCATTGTTGATGTTACACTGTATTTACATCCAAGTTTCAATCTCTTGCTGCTGGTGCTGTTTGATGTTGTCAGTGACAAACAGAAAGATGGGAGTTGGGAAAAGCTTGAATTGTTTCCATTACTCAGTACATACATGACACAGACTAACGGAACAGAGAAGAGGCCTTTTGTTTATGTAACTGGAAATAAGTGAATAATGGTTTTTCTACTCTTTTTCTCCCCCCCCCCCCCCCCCCCCCCCCCAGGACTCCCAGATTTAAGAAAAGTGGTGGTGATTCCATATGTTTCATCGAAAGAAGTGATAGATATTTCTAAAATACCAAACAGGTAATGGGACGGAATCAACTTCTGGGCATGTGCTGTCTCTATCAGAACTAGAGATGGGGTGGACCCGGAACCCTACATGGGTTTTTCTCACCAGTATGTCCCTGAATGTTGGGAAATTTTAGTATTTGGCTGTTTGTAACTAAATGAACTTCATATTAGGGGCCCAACATCATCTCCTCTGGGAAGAATCGAAGTATCAGGCTCCTGTTACGTAAAGGAACCTCAGGCATGCGGCAATACAAATCTCATGGAGAAGAGAATGGACACTTGACCTAGCACAAGAAGCTCTTCTCTTAGATCTGTGGGATAATCTTGACCGGACACTGAAGAAACCATTTTTTTTTTATCTTTTTTCCCCCTCTCCCCCCCCCCCCCTTTCTCAGTTGATCAGATTTTTAAGCTTCTTTCCATTTTAACTTGTTTCGCTTGTTTTTCTGTATTTAGCACAAAATTTCGGAGCTGACCATACAGCCCTTATGCAAGCAGTTTTATTGGATCAAAGCTGTTCTCACTTATACTTAAGTAACTCCAATAATGGAATCATTGCTCTCACTTACACCTTTGTAAATCCAGAGAGTTTAGCCCATTGACTTCATTGGAATGATTCTTGAGTTTTTGGGCTTTAGGATCAGGCTTGGAAGTTGACTTAGACTAATCAGGGTTTTTTTAACTTTGTGTTGCATGCTCTAGTATAGTGATGGTGTGCTTAGGTTTCTGGCACTGCTTAAGGATGCTGCAGTACTCTAAAAGAAAACCTCTTGGTTTAAAAAACCCTTATTTTGTAAACTATCCATTCAGCAGAATTTTTTCACACACTTGTGATAGAATAATGGGAGGGAAATGGGATGGGGATGCAAAAAGTACTTTTGTCAGACTAGTAAAAATGTTGTGTGCTTCAGTAAACTTTTTGCTTTATATTAGAGAAACCCCACTACTGACAAGCATGAAGCTAAATGAGCAATTGATCTGCTTTCTTTCATTATAACACTTCTTCTCTTCTCCTGCCCCCTCCCCCGCCCCAGTTATTAGCATTGACCCAGCAAGAAATCTCTCTACAAAGAGAGATGCAATTAGTTTGCTTACAAAATGAATGCATCTTTCAGCTTGCCAATACTAGATTTATCACTGCTGTCTCCCTCTTGTTCTTTCCCCCAACATAGATTTGTAATATCTTTTACTCGGTCATATTTCACATTTTGTCTGTGCAATAATTGATATAAAATAGGAGCATACAGTAAAATTACATTATCCACTTCATTTAGCTTTATACAAAGCAACAAGCTACCCTCGGTAGACCTGAGTTTTGCTTTCCATTGCTATTTACTTGATTACTGGATACTGCAGATAAACTTGAACATGAAAAGTGTGGTGAGACTTTTTTAAAAGCAACAAAATGACAGTTATTGAGTTTGATTTATTGATCATCTTAAAGAAAATGTTTGCTCTGTGAAATATCCTATTAGCACATTTATATAAATGAGATCGGGTATAACGAGGAGTGGAAAGGATGCTCCAAAATCGAGCAATGAACAATTTAAATGCCACTTAGAGGTAGTTTGGCTGGTTTATTTACTGTTCAGAGTTAGGTTACTCAGATACCTTTTGATACTGCTAATGTTCCAAACTGTGCACTAAGGGTCAGATTCTGTGTTACTTCAGAACAATTTCATTGTAATTGATACTACAAGCCAAAAGTACATTCACAGCTGAATCAAGAGCTGGCATAGCTGCCTTCTGACTGTCATAACAGCCATTCTGTCTGCACTGCATCCTGGACCCACATTGTAACTAATATTTCCCTTGAGGGACTGATCCTTTATTCCAAGCCATGCCTCAAAGATTTTCTCAGGCCTGTCTCTCTATATTAAGGCCTGTCTACATGGTGAGTTAGTGTGGCAAGGTATTATTCTAAAATGCCCCAGCTTGCTGAACAGTAACATTCCATCTGGACTCCACTACAGCACAGGAAGGTCCCGGTGCATGGCTTAGCCTACTATACTTCCAAGTATTACACTAATTTGCACTCTGGGACATCCAGTGTGCCTGTAGTAGGGACTGCACAGGATGTTAACTGTGCCACAAGTTGGTGCATTGTAGATTCACACCTTGGCTTGCTGTGTGGTGAGTCAAATGTAGACAAGCTCTCTGGTTGTGTGACGGGGCCTATACAAGTACCTACCTGCTACCTCTGCCTCTGTATGGGGCTTTTAAGGGTGACAACTGTTGATATGTGCAAATTTGTAGGCCTGTTCAAATATAGCCCTTGATATCTTAGTCTTAAACATTTTGTTGACATTTCATTTTAAAGAAAACCCCCAACCAGCTAAGCAATTTAAACAAAGGTCTGAGAAGCCAAAAGAATAAAAGTGGGGTTACATATACACACTGCATTATTGTAAGAGTGCTGTTGGGTCTGAAAATGATCTTATAGATGTCTGTGATTGATTAGCAGTTGATCTTGGTTTTTTTGAAGTTGAAGCAGTGTTAAGTAGTTTTTCCCTCTTTTGTGCAGTGTTTTTCTAGAAGATTTCCTTGCTACTGGGAAAGGAGACCAGGCCCCCCAGCTGGAGTTTGAACAGCTGCCCTTCAGTCATCCTCTGTTTATCATGTATTCATCTGGTACAACAGGAGCACCAAAATGCATGGTTCATTCAGCAGGGGTAGGTCTTCCCTCCTGGGGCTGCGGTGTCGCACTATCTATTTATAACCATCGGAGCTTCATCCTTTTATTTTTTTTATTTTATTTTTTTAGTGTATGTGGTGATAGTTTCAAAGGGGGACAGGTTGGCTCAGTGGCTTTTGATAACTATGTGAAACCTTTCACCTGTAGGTCCATAGTTGAAAGATATGGGTCAATAAGGACCAAAAGTCCTTACTATCTGGAGCTTGTTTTGGTTGTTCACGACACTTCCCAGTGGACAAGTAGCCGTCACACAACCACAGGTGGCACAACTGATGTCCTTGTTGGTAGAGACGAACGACTGAATGAGCCTTGAAAACTGTGGTTAGGACTGAGTCTCATTCGCAGAGATGACATGGGGAAAGTTTGCAACCCCAGTGCTGGGCTTCTGTGACTAGAAGAATTCAGCCACTTGAGCTGTCAATCCAAAACCATCTCCATCAGTAAATTCACTTAGGGCTTGTCTACATTTTAAAACACTCCAGCAACGTAATAGAATTTTTCCGTTGACCTAGTATGGTCTGCTCTGGGGGTTAGGTCAGCTTAACTCACCGCACAGTGGTGTGGATTTGCCACACCCCTGAGTGAGGTAGTGAAACCAGTCTAATAGTCTAGTGTAGACCAGACCTTTTTGTGACAGTTGGGCAGCTGTTGGTAGCTGCTCCAGGTTCAGAATGTTAGGATAAGCACTTGTGAAGACAGTTAGTGAGCAGAGAAGGTGGTCAAAGGTGTGTGATAAATGCAGTTGACCAGATAGATTAAAAGACAAAGGGAAGGGAATTTTCCCTCTTTAAGGTTCTGTTCATCACCAGATTATTTACACAGCTGCTTAGCTTGCCATTGAATCCTACCCCTCCCCTTCATCTGCCTCATCCTCCCAACTTGGTTGGAGCCACACAGAGGTGCTGATACAGCTGAAGTTTAATTTCAATAGTTAAAAATACAAAAGGAGACGAAATGACAGCAAAAGTGTATTAAATACTGATCGCAGTGGATTTAAAATAGCTTGATTATCCCCTGGATCTTTTTACAGGAAATGTTTTTTCCTTGTAATTTTAACTTCATCTACCTGTGTGCAATATGGTAAGCTCATATGTTTCCTCTGCACGTCTGTTGTGGTGTATATTTAAATGATAGCCATAAATAATTTAAAGGAAGACAAACCTTTAAAATGTATTATCCTGCAGGCAGAAGTAAGGTGTGTGTGTGTGTGTGTGTGTGTGCGTTTCTGAAACAAAAAAAATATTAGGTTTTTCAGCTAGAATCCAAGACCTAAAGGGATTTGTCTCAAAAGAGCTCAGCAGTGTTCTACCACTCTGACCTGGTTTACACTCCATTTTCTCCAGAGTAGTAGTTCATAGTTTGTGGGTGGATTCATCTTTAAAAATTTCATTTGGATTCTCAGTCTCTGAAATAGTAAAGTGTAAATTGGCAAGGAGAGGCAATAAAATTTAATTGACTTTGATCCAAATAGGGTATAGTCTCAATTTCTACAGGACTGTAACTAAGGATACCAGTAAAAATCCTGCTCTTGCAAAGACTTAGGCCTGCGTTTCACTTACACACCTGAACAGTCCCTTTAAACATGTGCATAAGTCTTTTGTGCAAGATTGCTTCTAATTTACTATTTGTGGTTATAGCAAAGCCATGAATTCTGCATTTAAAATGCAGGTTGTAGAAAGTAGTCTCTAGCTAGATGGCAGCATTGTGACATCTCAGTGCACTGAAGCATTAACAGGTAAAAATCCAGATGTGGCTCCTCTGAGATGCTAAGGGAAAATTGGATTTGCTTGTATATTTTTTTATTTAATATTTTTTCCTTTCCATCCCTTAAAGCATATGCAATTTACATTAGTTTCTTTTGTGTTAAATTTTTATCTATAATGGATTTTCTTTCAACATCTATCTTGCTTGATTCATGTGAAGTCCCTAATAGCTCCACCATGAGCACTTGCAAAAATGCAAAGTACAGCTTTTGTTTTTAAATCAACTATTTTAATGTGTCACTGTAGTAAAGTTACACAGGGAAACAGTTTATAAATTCATTGATCCTGCAAAGTCACTCTTGAATGATCCAAAGTATTTTAGCCACATTTCCAATAAAAGAGAAAAATGAGTAATAGCATAGTTCAGTGCATTGTCATTGGCTAGTGGAATTTTCCATGCTGCCAGCCGTACAAATGCTTAGGAGGAGGTCTATGTAGTTCTGTCAGCAGTCTCCAAAGAACTAAAATTTGAGACTGCTTGAGCTACTGTTGGGACCTAGTATATAACATGAATGCTTTGTGCCATGACGCCTAAGTCCAGAACAACTTTGTGTCCCTCACTCCTACCAGTCAGCTGGGTGTACTGTGAGCGTGAAACCATGTCAAAGGACTTGTTCACTTGGGGAAATAGATCTGCAGAATTAGAGTGGTCTATCAAAGGGTATAGGTATAACTATACCGCTATAGTTCTCTTGGTCAATATCCCCACGTAGACAAATCCTTATGGGCTACATAGGGTGCTGCACTACTCTAGTGGCTGGCTATGGAGCGATGCTGCAGTTCTGTAGGGAGCAGGTTGTTTTGTTGTAGGTTAAGTGCAGACACTGCTGAGATCTAGTGAAGGAGGATGGAAAGTTATACGAAGGGGGAGTGGAGAATGCTATCCATGCTGACGTGGATAGGTGTGGGAGTTGTTGCCTGTTTTTTACTTTGAACGGGGGTGGAATTCAATACCTGTCTGTAACCCTGAAATACTCACTGGTGAGGACTGTGCAGCATTAGGATATTGAAAAGTATATTTTCCCACCAGATCTTTGCTTTATATTTACATAAACTTATTTTCCCCTTCACTTTTTTTTATTTTTCAGGGCACACTAATTCAGCACCTGAAGGAGCATATTCTTCATGGCAACATGACCAGCAATGACGTTATTATGTACTATACAACGGCAAGTGGGACTTACCACACTTATAAAACACTTTTTCAAAAAAAAAAAAAAAAAAAGAGGGAGGACATTTCCCACAGTACTACAAATACAATTCTATGTATTTCTAGTGGTCTCTATAAGCATAGCTGTTTTCAAATTGGGTTAAAAAAAAATAGGTGGATTAATAAAATACAGTTGGGTGTTAAATGTTCCTGCTAATTAGTGAGAAATGGATTGTGGGTTTTTTGGATTTTAAGCTTATTGCTGTAATGACATCCTCAGTTGCATCTTCAAAGCATGCTCTACTCTCCTGCATCATGTGGGGATCTGGCCATGTTGGAGATGAGTGGCAATTTTACTCTGTTCATCTTGGTGGAGTGGCAAGAATCTGTGCCTCCCTGGGAGCCTGGTGGAGGGGATATCTAAAAGGCTATGAACCTTCATGGTTGGCACATGAGCCAACCTCTGTCACCCCCACTTGGGAACCCCATAAGTGCACTTGGACTTTTTTCTTTGCACTTTCCTCTGAGGCACCTGGTTCTGGCCACTATCAGAGATGTGATGGCCCACTGGTCTTCTCCATTGTGGAAATGCTCATGTTCTAAATGAGTGATTTCTAATAATATAAGGGGAAGAAAATAGCATGGTTGTTTTGTGACTCCTTGGAGTTTAACAGTCCTTATTTGGTGCTAACGTAGTCAACACAGTGCAACTTAGGTTTAACAGTGACTTCTTTTTAAGAAAATAGAAGCTTAAAAGGATAGTTTGGGGACTTTTCAAACATTTTAAATATTCTCCTACTAAACTGTGTTGCTTTCCATGCTCCCAACAGTCATTTATATGCTGTTGGGGAAGGTTTAAATTATCTTTGCTGGAGTTCGTTTATATCATTTTGGGGCAGTGGCAAAGTAGAAGGTATCTGCAATACTGTACATGGTATAAAAGGAGTTTCTGCTTGGCTAACCTGTCTTTCCCTGGTGAGCTCCTGTATAAACTTGTGGCAGTAACAGCTAACCTATATTGCCTCCACTGAGGAGTCGGGTTATTTTTCCCCATCATTGTTTAGACTCGTATCTTAATGGGAAACAAGATAATACAAGTAGGCGTGATCAGCAGAAGTATGCATAAACTCAGATCTTTGTTATAAACTCTTAGGCTGTAGCAGTTTGAGGCAGGAAAAATTAGAGGTGTGGGAAAACTACATATTGTGCTTAGTTTGTAAGAGTCCTGCCAAAGGCCAGAACAGGGGCTGCTCTGGCCCTTGACGTGAATTAGAGCAACCCCTGCCTCTCCCAGGCTGCTCTGAAAAAGCATGATCTCCAATGCTCAGTGCTATGAACACACTCCTAGCATGACTTGTCTGCTGGAGCTTGCAGTGGAGTTGGGCAAGTAGGACCACTTACAGATGCCCTACTCAGTGCCTGGGCCATGGAGATTCTTTCCTGGCCGGCTGCAGGCCCCCATATGCCACCAAAGTGACATGTATGGGTGGAGGGAGGGAAGAATCCTTTTTTAGCACAGGCACCAAACCTGTGTTCCGCAAGGAGATGCGTACATACAGTGAACGCTGGAACTTCCATAGCTTCTGATGAAAAGTTTTTTTTAAAAAATGTCAAGACATATTGTGTTGGCATATGGAGGGATTCAGTGTAAAGCAGCAATTGAGTGTCCTAAAATACACAATAGATACTACAAACCATGTCAGAATTGGTGTTTTAGTTCTCTCAAATACCTGCTGTCACTTGTATCCTGTGAAGTATTTTGGGCTAAATACCAAATCAAGTACCACCTAAAGTATTTGTGAAAGTTGCTACACAAAATAAATTGTATTTTTGGTGTGTAATTACCAGGTAAGTCATATCCCAGATTACAGCTATTGTAGGGTATAAGTACAAGGGACTCTGCTATTCTGTGTGTGGTGGATTCTCCATCCCTTGATGTCTTCAGATCAAGACAGGATGCCATTCTGGTACATGTGCAAGTTACTGGGCTCAGTATAGGACCAACTGGATGAAATTCTCTGGCCTGTGTGTTAGGCAGGCAGACTGAGTGATCTAATGGTCCCTTCTGGCCTTAAACCTATGAATATATTATTGGGGTAATTTAAAACCGACATACACATTTTGGGGCCCTACATTAACTCCATGTGTCTTCCCTCCTCCCCCCCCCCAATTTTTTTGAAGGCCTGAAATAAGGTTACTAAAGCAGGGGCCAGGTTCTGAGTCCGCTACAACCAGTGTAAATCTTGAATAGCTTCACTGGAGTTACCCAGGATTTACGGTGATGTTAACAGTTGAAACTGGTCCATGGATTCTGATGAATTGACTCTAAACTGGTTTACTGTTAATGTAGTAGCATTCTCAAGTAACACTGAGAGACTGAATTCACAGGTCAATAAATAGTTGGAAGAGATGTCTCCCTAAGAGTATGTGAGCTCACAAAGATAGAAACTAACATAGGAGTCTTGTCTATTCTAGACTGGCTGGATGATGTGGAATTGGTTAGTATCTGCGCTTGCTGCAGGAGCTTCGGTGGTCTTATATGATGGATCTCCTCTTGTTCCATCACCCAATGTGCTCTGGGATTTGGTTGACCGACTAGGGTAGGTAAACAAGATGTTGAAGTGAACTATAGAACTTCTTCTCATTTTAAGTCCTAGAAATTGCTGTCTTCACTCGTTAGTCTGTTATTAATCCCACATAAAAACAGCTTCAATAGAGGCTATTTGCATGATCTGAAGCCAACATATAGGGTGGCATAGTTTTTTAAACTCTGGCTTAATTTAGGATAAACTATTGAAATCTTAGACTGAAATGCCCTTTTTAGAGGGAGTGAAAGACAAAGGGTTGAATGTGTGTTTTAGAATTCATTCAGGCATTTTGATTCCCTGTAAATAAAGAATGTCAGTTCAGTAGTCCGTTTTAAGAGCAGCTTTTTCAAAAGGCAGTAATTGGGAGCAGTCTAAAGAGTAATTTCTCAGGGCACTCAGTTTTTGTGAAACAAGAATCCTCTATTTCAGACTACGCAGCATAAACCTGACTATGGTGCTTGATAGAATTTGAAAGCCTTAAATTGACTGGGACCGTTCAGCAGGGCTGCCTGTATTTTCATATTTTGCTTTCTAATCTGTTTCATTCTTTGTCAAGCAATTTATTAATTGTCATATATCCCTGTGTGAACATGAGGTGCCAGGTGCCCTCTACTGGTGCATAAAGAAATAGCAAAACTGAAACAAAAGCAGCTTTAAGACCTTTCATGACATTTTACCTTTGCACACTGGACAGAGCATTGATTTTTATAACTATACCATCTTGCAAACTGGAGTTAAACAGCAGAACTTTACATTTTTACTATTTAAATACCCAATGTTTTTAAATTAATGCTCAGTTTTAATACACTTGTGGTGGAAAGTGGATGTAGTGCATGTCACCTTCTAATTGCCAATTAATAATTAAAATGCAGCTTTGCCTTTTGTGCTATGCAATATTTAACAATTGACATTTTGGTGCTGGCTATTATAATTAAAGGTTACGTCTTAGTGAAATTGTTTCTAGTGGAAAGTTGTTAAAATCTGTTTAACTTTATTCAAGAGCAGAACCAGTGGGGTAAAAAGTTAGTCTAGAAATAGAATAATTATTTCTGAGCATCATCTTGGTATGCGGAAGGTAAACGAAAGCAGTTCATGTATGCAGGTCTAATATTTTAATCTATTGCTAAAAGCATTAGCCAACTGTATGCTAGCCTTCTAATGTAGTTTTGTTGCAAAATATTCATGTTGGCTATTAAAGGCTGTTATCTTATGCCCTGTCATGAAGGTGCAGTGTGCTACACATAACTGTTACCCTGGTAATATTGAATAGCAATAACTACTTGATTGGGATGATTTTAGTAAAGATTCTGCTCAGTAGGGCTGGATTTAGCCCATACCAAGGGGTTAAGTCAGGGGTGGGCAAACTACGGCCCGAGGGCCGCATCAGGCCTCCAGACATTTTAATCTGGCCCTCGAGCTCCTGCCGGAGAGTGGGGTCGGGGACTTGCCCTGCTCCACGCGGCTCCTGGAAGCAGTAGCAAGTCTTTTCTCTTCCCCTCCCCCCCCCCGGCTCCTACGCATAGAGGCAAATGGGGGGGGTGTGTGTTTCCACACATTGCCCCTGCCCCAGGCACGGCCCCCGCAGCTCCCATTGGCCATGAACTGCAGTGAATGGGAGCTGCAGGGGCGGCGCCTGTGGACAGGGCAGCACACAGAGAGCAGCCTGGCCGTGCCTCCGCATAGGAGCTGGAAGGGGGACATGCTGCTGCTTCTGGGAACTGCTTGAGGTAAGCGCCGCCCAGAGCCTGAACCCCTGACCCAGCCCCGATCCCCCTCCGAACCCCTTAGTCCCAGCCCGGAGCACTTTCCTGCACTCTTAACCCCTCATCCCCAGCCCCACCCCAGAACCTGCACCCCAACCCCCAATTTTGTGGGCATTTATGGCCCGCCATACAATTTCCATACCCAGATGTGGCCCTTGGCAAACTTTTTGGCCCCACCCCTGGGTTAAGTGGTGGTAAACTGGTGTTAAATGCAGTCGGCAGGGAGGGGGGAACTACTCCACAGACTTCTGAAAGAGAGTATGTCAAATAGTAAACCAAAAAAACCCAGAGACAAGTATAGAGTATCCTTGCTTTATAATAAATGGCTCAGAGGGCGCTAGTAAGTAAAATATTGCATAAGAATAAAAATACTTCATATGATTGTAGTAAATCACAGCAAAAGGACCATCCAATCCCCATTTGTAATAGAGAAGAGATTGTGATTTATTCTTTATACTAATAGGTGCCCATCCCTAGCTCATGCAATATTCCATATACTTGCATGTCTCTAAAGCACCTTGCAAAAATAATAATAATCTTCATACACTTCAGCATCTCCTCAAGGGAGTTTATTGCCACCATGTAAAACTAACACAATGCCAGCACAAATCACTTGAGCATTACTTACACAGGAGCAGGATTTCTTAAAGGTTAATATATAGATCAGACTAACACTTCCAGCAATAAATGGAGTTGGGTGAGGCTTCACTTTAACTTTTTAATTGGTGTGTGGGAACACTTTCTTTTCCCTCTCCTTCTTTGTGATAAGAGAACTGAAAATGAGTTGTATGCAGTCATTTAAAAATCTGTTTCTTGGTTAGATTAATGGCATCTCAGAAATCACATATTAAAGCAGTAGGCAAATGAAGCTCTTGAGATTCTATTTCAGCCCCAGTTATATTTTTAACTAATGTAGATGAATGTAGGTATTAAGCCTCATTGATTACTTTGGATAGTTTAACTTTGAAGAACACCCACTGTTCTGTTTGGAGATTTTCAAAGTTTTAGTAGGATTTCTTTTTACCGCATTGCTGCTTGCTATGCAATGCTTCTAGAGTCCATTGGCTTGATCAGGGGGAGGGAGCCAGGACTCCTGGGTTCTATTTCTGATACAGGCTTTGAGTAAGTCACTTTGCTTCTAATTACCTGAACAAATGGGTATTACAACAATATTTTAACTCTTCGGGATGTTGTGAAGCTTGATTGGGGGGAGAGAGGGGTAGCATGTAAGGAAAATGTTTATGCTCCTGATGCTTTAACTGGCTTGTCTGTTTCTTGCATTTGACAACATTCTCCAGCTATACATCTTATTTATTTATTGCATTAATTGAAATATTTATTTCACACTGTGTCTTCAGTGTTGGTGTGAATATCTTATGTGAATAGTAATCCTGCAGAGCTGATTGCGTTGTCCTAAAGATCTGTAATTTGCAACTGGGAGAAGGAGGAGACTGCTCAAACTTGGATACTAAACACGGTGCCTTAGCCTTTAACTCGACAAGTGTAGGGAAAAATTGTCTTGTTTTGTGAGTAGCTGAAAGGTGCTGAACCAGGGTTTTCTCCTTATGAAAACTCCCCAATTCTAGAATTCTTCAACATACTGCCATATATACACTCTGCTCTCTGTGTATGCAACTCTCATACACACACAATTCCAACTGAAGTCTATCTGAGAGCAAAACGTGAATTACTGTCTTCTACTACACTGCACTGGAATGACACAGTTCCGATATATGAGACTATAACAAGGCAACGATGCCCTGTTAAACAGGGCAATTATGGCAAATTAACAAATTATATGTTAGGAGATTTCCTAATGTATTTGGAGTGCTCTGTAGTTAAGGGTTCCTGAAACTGTAAGTGAACACTTTCCGCTAGGTGGGAAGGCTGTGCTTAATATTTAAAGCCAGAATTAAAAATTTCAATGTTACAGAAATGACTCCAATGACCTGACTAATTTTGATTGCTGAAAAAGACATGCCTAGAATCGTTAAAACTTTAGGGGCAGCTATGATACTTGCAGGATCAAAATCCTTGAAAATGTCTTTCTCCTCTGTAGGATCACCATCCTTGGAACAGGTGCAAAGTGGCTGGCTGTGCTAGAAGAGAAAAATTTAAAACCATGTAAGCTTCAAACCTCTGTTTTTTCTCTGGCCTTGTAGCCTGTCCACAGACAGTGACCTGAGGGTTACGTTTGACTTCTTGGATTTATTCAAGTGGTGAATAGATAATATGATAAAACTTAAATGTTTGTAATTCTTGGTTTTCTTCCCTCTTTAAGGTGACACCCATAATCTTCAAACACTTCATACTATACTATCTACAGGGTCACCACTCAAATCTCAAAGCTACGAGTACGTCTACAAACATATAAAGAGCAGCGTCCTCCTGGGATCCATTTCAGGTAATACTTACTCCAAAAGCTTTTTACGTTTGCTAATTCCTTCTGTAGCCAGTTTCCGTCTTCGTTGCCTCTTTGCAACTTTGTTTACAGGAAAATTGGGCTGGAGATCAGTCAGCCTCGGTTATACTTAAACTGCAACTACCTTTGACTTGTGCAGGGTTTTTCTGCATAATTCAACATGCCATTGCATTAGTATAATGAACTTGGTGCACTCAAGGACTTTGAGATGGAATTATTGTGACAGAGTAGATGTAAGGAAGCAGGATTCTTTATTTTGACTGGCTGTCTTCAGGGGCCGCAGGGTGAGAGGAGGAAGAGTCTGTTAACCTACAGCACGCATTGTTTTCTGCGTAGTTGATTTCACCAGGAAACTCTTCCTGAGGAGACTTTTGCCAGGCTCCTATTTCAGTTAAAGGCCACGATAGACGGGTCAGTGTGTCGATTATGTAATTAACAATGGAGATGTGTTAAGCCATGTCCAGTGTAGTATGAGAGCTCACTTGGGCAGTTTCTGTTCTATTCATATAAAGTCGCACTCGTACAGGGCCCTGTTGTGCGGGGTACCAAGGGTCAGGTCTCAGAGGGACCATGTCAACCTAGTTTAGACCCCAAATCCAGAGTCCAATCCTTCTGCTATTAAAGTCGATGGGAGTTCTGTCTCTGACTTTAATGGGAGCACGTCTGGACCTTAAGATGACATTTATTAATAGTCTCTGATGTCAAAGAATAGTCATGTGAGTGAGATTTGCAGGATTGGGCCTTTTGTTGTAACTCTGCCTTTTATTTAAATATGAATAGAAATATCCTAATTACTCGAATGAAAACTTTTTTTTTAAATTAAGGCTTAAATATTCCCCATGAGTGCCAAAATCCCAAACATAACTACGTTTGTGCTAATGCACAAGAACAAGAAATAGAAACAGACCAACAGCAACTATCTAGTCCAGCTATACTGTTTGATTGCGAGATGCCACAAGGAACCAAATGTCATTTTCTCATCTCAAACATCTATGAATCTGGGACCTAACTGTTGACTAAGGGCCTGAATCGCCACTCTCACTCCGTGTAAATTAAGAGTTACTCCAGTGAAGCTAATGAAGCTTATACTAGTGTAAAACTAGTGGGAGAAAAAAATTCAGTCTCTAAGGTATATGCCTATACAAAGGGCATGCACATTGTAAGAAAAGCCTCTAACTTTTTTCATTGTCTACTATTTCTATGCAATTTACAATCTTAGCAGTGTATTTTAGGTTTCGTTACTTAAAGTGGACGGAATTTTTTTCAGTATTATGTGAAAATAAAATAAGAACTCCACATGGCCTTTATTTGATCTTTTAAAAATAAGTTCTTTAAAAGTGTCTGAATTCTAAGTGTCCTCCTTTTGTTATAGGTGGAACAGATATCATTTCATGTTTCATGGGTCAGAATGTTACAATCCCGGTTTACAAAGGAGAGATTCAGGCCAGGAACCTGGGCATGGCAGTGGAAGCGTGGAATGATGAAGGTAACCATTTTCTAGTCAACTCCATAGGAATTTCTAACTAAAATGTAATAGCTGCAGGAATTTGGATGGTGATTTATGAGACTGAGAGACACTGTCTCATCTCTTGATCAGCTGATAATCCAACCCAATGACCAAAAGTGGCAGCCATCTTGTGGCTAAGTGGCTAGCTGTAAATGAGTTAGTGATCTCAAAACCCTTTCACAACCGTGCCCTTAATGGTGGTGGTCTTTGGTGTGGAAGCTTGTCCCACAAGAAACTGGACTGATCAAATCTGATGGCTGTTTAGGACCCTGTGTTAGTATGAGACCATATCCCAACATCTTGTATTTGTGTTTACTAGTTACAGTCCTGTCCAATTAAAAACTGTCTATACCAGACACTGGACTAAATTCACCACTGATGTAATTCCATTAAACTTGAATTTTTTTTTGGCCTTCCTCTGCAATGTGGAGTATGATTTGCCCGCTGTGATCATCTGGATGTATCTCACCTAATCAGTTTCCTGCCATTCTAGGGACCTTGGGCATGGGTAGTACTTTGGTCTTTCCTGTTCTGTCCCTGTGGCTCAAAGTTTAGCTCCTGAGGACTGAAATACCTTGGTCTAATTTGAAGTCTTTGGTTTTAATATAGGGGTATTTGGGAGAGGCATGTGATAAACAGGAGGCTAGAGCAGAGGGGACCATTAGATCATCTAACCTTACACTCTGAAGTTAAATCCAAGGTTGAATTTAGCCCATTGCCCATAAACTTTTTAGATCAGCTGCCAATGCCCAGAGTGACAGGGCCTCTGGGTGTTACCATTATGCAGAGGATAATCCTATGTGCTTTGCTTTGGTACCCAGCAGTTTACAAAAGGGAAATGCAGAAAATCTGTTTCTATTTGTAAACAGGCAAACCAGTTTGGGGGGAAAGCGGAGAGCTGGTTTGTACCAAGCCTATGCCCTGTCAGCCTACGCACTTCTGGAATGATGAGAATGGAAACAAATACAGGAAAGCTTATTTTTCAAAATTCCCAGGTACGTAGTGAAATGCTTAGTTCATTATTTGAACTGACCAGGCATATAGAACTGGCAATTGTTTACAAAATTATAAGCCTGCTCTTTCCCATAGTTGGGCAGATACAGTATCTAGATTTGCTAGGGTAACAAATGTTTGATAAATATCTTGCTATTTATTCCCTGGTGCTTGGTCTGAATTTCAGTCTGGGTTAGTCAAATTTAAATTTCTGGAAAACTAATTCCTTTCTGTTACTGCTGTCATTAGGCAGATAGGACTGCTACAGCAACTTGATCTGGCTCAGCACAGGCGTACGCTGTTGGGTGTATACGTGTGAAAGGAGCAATCTTCTATTGAGTGCTACTATATTGATACCAGACTGTTGCTGCCTAGTATTAGAAGTGAGTCCTAGGAGATGAGCCCTGGCCTAGTACCTCATTAGCATGAGGGGTAAGCCAGTATCTTGTGTGACATGCACGTTCTCCACTCACGCACAAGCCCTGTGCTGATACGAGTAAGGGGACAGATGTACAGTGGGTTAGATGCTGCTTGTGCTTATTCTGGAGGACTGGGTCCACCCATAGCCTTTGCTCACACTTGCACTGAAGTACAGCAACATTGCACTCCCTGCTGCACGTTGGGCAAGGGCTTGTGGGATCAAGACCTTGAGTCCACTTCTTTTCAGAGCTAGATGGAGACATTTATCAATCGCAGCCTCACAAAGACATTTCAAGTGAGTAACTGCGAGAAGCCACACTCTACAGTAGGAGAGTGCTACCTTGCACTTAACCACAGGGGTCTGTTTACTGTTCCATTCCTGGGCCCTTTTCTTATTTTATAAGCAATATTAAGCTATTGCTGCCATTTTTATAACTTTAGCCACCTTTTCTGTCCCATTGTTTATACCAAGTGGCCAGTTTACGTCCTTGGGGGTGGGGAAGGGGGACGACTGCTTGACATCACCATGCTGGGCGAGACCCCACACATTAAAACTTGAAATGCAGACACTTGTTCTACTATAAAGTTTTTTTCTTCCTAGCAGATAGCATAGGATCGTACACAATGAAATAAGTCTTACTCTAAATAAAATAAAGCACTGATATGCTTAAAACAGATCTTTGACAGCTTTCCACACAAACTGTTCCACAGTCACAAATCAAAACAGTCTTTGTGTTCTTCCATTGCTGTCTTACTACAATTTGAAAGACTGCGTAGAAAACCATAGCACGCATTCTGTCTAGCTGTGACAGTAGTTACCAATACACAGACACATCATCTGTCTGTTTTTGTTTGTAAGCTTTCTGCTGGAAAGAGTTGTGCGCTTACTTTTAACAATAGATAATTTCTTTCTTTGGCTGTATAGAACTATGTTCTTCTTGATGCTTTGGCAGTTATAGTACATTTCACTTAACTGGCCGTTAAACAGAGGGGGTCTTTAAACACAAAAGGGACCACTGAATCCAAGTAAAAGCGTGTGCATGTGCACCCGTAGCAACCACAACTCTAAAAGGACAGATCGCTGTGTTTGACAGCAGTCTTCTCTGAGAAACCTGTAGTTTCAGTGATCTGTTGGAAACCCCAATTTTTGTGGTGGTCTGTAGAAATGTGTTTCAGGTTGAAGCTAAGTATAAAACGTGTTAGCTGAGGAATGGAGTGGTGCCTGCGCGTACATGGTTGGAGTTGTTTGTCCTTTAAGCAAAATTTGAGTCAAGCCAGGTCACGTTTCCATTCCTAGCACTGGAGTTTCTCCATGTTAACCCCACTGTAGCTGAGAGAAAACATCTGGCCCAACACGTTTGGCCCAGCTTCTAGGGGTCTGATTCTGATTTTTGCACTAGTGTAAATTCAGAGTAACTCCATCAAGCAAATGGGAGCCTCCTGTGGACTCCATTGAGAGCCTGCCATGTAATCCCAGAGAGTGCCTCTGCCCCAGAATTGCTGATAAGGTGGAGGGAGACACCAAGGAAGACCTCACATTCACTCTTTCGCCCCCCCCGCCCCCGGCATGTTGTTACCTCTATTGGAGGACCCTCATCTGGGTTCCATACAGATGCATGTTGTGCAGCGTGCTAGAACAAGCCTCTGTTGAAGTCATGGGAGTTAAACCACTGCGTGGAGGATCAGAATCGTGCCTGGAATGTTTAGTATTAGATAGCACTCACCGCAGGGAGCGCTAAGGGCTGTGCATATTCACAGGAGTAGTCTGACAGAATCAAAGAGCTTGCACCTTCCACATACTTTTAGACTTGTGTCCCCCCTTTGTCATCTTCTAGCTAAACTCTACACACTTAACTTTTAATCTTCCGCTTAACTCACTCTCCCCACACTGGTGCTGTCCCCTTCTGGTCTTTGGTAACTAAATTGGAGTTGCATGGTAAAAGTCAGTCAGACCTGCTTTGATGGCAGATGGGCTGGTTAACACTTTGTCACCTTCTGACAGGTGTTTGGGCCCATGGTGACTACTGCAAAATAAATCCTGAGACAGGAGGAATCGTCATGCTTGGCCGCAGGTAAAGTATATTTTGGTAAAACTGTTCTGAGGGAACGTGTAAAGTTGGCAGGCTCTGTTAGGTTGCAGGAGGACATGTGCATATTTCAGATGACTCCCCACTTGGCTTGCTGGCTGAGTTTCCGGATCTGATGAGGAAATAGGATTCTAGTATATTATTTTCAGCGTTTTAAATTTTCAACATTTACATCACACAAGAACTAGGGGTCACCAAATGAAATTGATAGGCAGCAGGTTCAAAACAAACAAAAGGAAGTACTTTTTCACACAACACACACTCAACCTGTGGAACTCCTTGCCAGAGGATGTTGTGAAAGGTCAAGACTATAACAGGGTTCAAAAAAGAACTAGATAAGTTCATGGAGGATAGGTCCATCAATGGTGTCTCTAGCCTCTGTTTGCCAGAAGCTGGGAATGGACAACAAGAGATGGATCACTTGATGATTATCTGTTCTGTTCATTCCCTCTCGGGCACCTGGCATTGGCCACTGTCGGAAGACATGATACTTGGCTAGATGGACCTTGGGTCTGACCCAGTATGGCCATTTTTATGTTCTAACATTTCAGTTGCTCATAAGTTCACAGTTAAGGGACAGCACGTTGTAAATGTGCAGGATTGCTAGCCTACAGGTCCTCTTGGGTTTTGAGAGGTCACGTTGCTGAGAAGCTGGGATTTCACAGGATGCAGTAAGGCCCAGTGGGTGGGGCACCAGACAGGGAGTCAAAACTGGGCTCAGCTCTTGGCTCTGCATTTGATTTGCTGCATAAACTTGAGCATGTCACTGGCCTGCACTTCTAAAAGGATCCTTTAATTAGAATTCTTCTGTTTTGGTTTTTTGCCAGAGGTCCAACCTGAGACACCATGGGTATAATTTTCAAAAGTGCCAAGCACCACAACTCTAGTGGGCTTCAGTGATAAGTCCTCGGTGCCTCTGAAAATTAGGCCTTGCTATGTCTCAAGGTGGACTCCCAGAAAATGGAGGGACTGAAAATGTCTGCCTTAACCTCTCTGTGCCTCAGGTTTCCTATGGCAGTGTGGGATAATGGTACTTACCCACCTTTTTAAACCACTTTTGAAAGCTACAGGTTAAGTGTGAGGTTTTAAGAGTTAATAGAACTTCAGGATCAGGAGCATTGTTAAATTATATGGCAGTATTTACCAATCAGCTCTTAGTTTTAATGGCGAGTTAGTGGTCCAGGATTGTGTTCAGCTTTTCACGCAACAGGCCTGGTTCAGTTCATAGGCTCAGCTCGTGGAGTCCACTGTCTGCAGGGAGTGAGAAGTGCTGCAGAAATGGAGATGCTCAGCCTCAGGTGGTGGGAAGGGGAAGACACTAACAATGCCAAGGAGTGCCACAAAAGCACCTGGCTCTGTTACTTCGTGGCTGGATATTGGTGGCTACTTTTATGAAGGCCTGTGTGCATGCAGGTTTAAGTGAGAAATACCAGTGCAATCTTTGGAGCACGGAGGAAACAAATGATGAAGGGAAGAATGTGGTTTGTTTAGATTCTGTGTAAAACTTCATTTTGATGAGCACGAAGCTTTTTAGACAAAAGTCTCTTGTAATCCTATTTCTACTACAACTTCCTGCATATTTCACTATACCAAATATTGAGAAACTTGATAAGTTGCATCATTTATTTTCTTCATCAAACCCTAATTAAATTTTTAATGCTCTTTTGTTTGTGTGTAACTTTCAGTGATGGTACGCTAAATCCAAATGGAGTGAGATTTGGAAGTTCCGAAATCTATAACATAGGTAGGAAAACTTTCATCCACCTTTTGCAACTGTGACATTTGTGTAGCCTTAAATCCGAAACGTGAGCATTTACAGCGGTGTTGAAAGGCTTAATTAATAACACACGAGATCTTTCATTGGAAAGGGGCTAAAGAAGAGGATATCATTAACAACGAAATACTGTTTTGCTGACTATGAAATTGCTTCCGTTCCAAAAGGATCTACAGAGCTGGAGGTGACTAACTGAAATGCACTGCGTTTTCCTCCTAAGATGTTGCATTCATGTAATAAGGCTTACAAAAATTGTGCGAACCGTTTTATGTGACTTTTTAAGAGAATCCATTATTTCCGTGGTTTGTCCTTCCAAGGCGAACTGTTAGACAGTACTTGATTGTTTTTAGTGAGCCATTATCAATAGCTGAAATAAATTCTTGTGCGCTTTGGTGTGTGTTTTTTTTTTTTTTTTTTTTTTTTTAACTGCCATAAGTGACTCTGTGCACAAAGGCAGTGTGTGACTGTATGAAGTCAGCAGAAAGTTAACAGCGATGAGGGAGGGCAGAGAGATGGTGTCAAGCATTCCTCTGGTGTAGTGAATCGAGGTATTGTTTTGCTGTAAAAGCTGTCCTCCTTGTACAATGTGAAGTCTGGAGGGTCAGCTTCCCTTGTGGGTGGAGGGGCAACTTTCAGAATGTTCATGGCTATTGCCCTAGGCTACATTTCACTTAGTTACTCCCTTACGTAAGCTTTGGAACAGTCTCTCCCTTGTCTTGTTTTTGGAACATACAAGCCAGATTCTGATCCAGGTTACATTGGTGGAACTGAGCTCTGATTCTGGCTCCCTGTGTTCAAGGGCTTTGCTGTGTAACTATCAGTATAGTAAATAAATGTTTGTTTCAGTTGGGGATGCAGTTGAATACTGAACCAATTTGTGATCAGCCTGTTTTGATGATGTCCCCTCACCTTTTTTTAATGCAGTTGAGATTGTACTGCCTGGATTATCCAGCTGCGCACGGTGAAATGTACTTAAGACATCCTGCCTCATGACTGGTTGAAAAGCAGTCATATAAAGAGAGAGAGAGAGAGAGAGAGAGAGAGAGAGAGAGAGAGAGGCTGGTCAGGGCTCGAACTTGGATTCAGTTCTCTGCTCCAACACAGACTTCCTGTGTGACCTTGTGACAGCCACTTAGTCTCTCTGGACCTCCATTCCCCATCTGTAAAATGGAGATAATAGCATTGGCCTACTTCACTTGGTTGTTGAGGATAAATACATTAAGGACCCAGAAGTGCTCAGACAGTGATAACCGGGGGTATAGAAGTACCTTAGTTAGCCGTGGTAGTATTGCTTAGGCTGAACAAAAAGGTTTATTAATCCAACAACTATATCAAAATTTTGGCCTGACCTAAGTCCAGTATTTATTGGGTCTATAAACTTTGATATTCACTTGAGCAGAAATCAATGACTGGGATTTAAAAAAACAAAAAACCGCAAGGGAGTTAGGCACCCAAGTGCACTGACTTTCAGTGCGGTTTGCTTATCTAATTGCCTTAAACTTCTTTGAAAATCTTAATTAGGTAGGCCAATCCCACTGACAATGTGGCACTTGTGTGCCTAATTCCCTTAGGTGTTCTCTTTAAGAATCCCAGTCAATATCTGCTTGTTGTTTGCCTCATCAGTGCCAGAACAGATGATGGGAGATATGTCCTTTTAGTGTAAAATTAAAAAAAAAACAAAACATCCAGTGGAAAACAAGTGCATGTGATAACGAAGCACTCTACTTCTCTTTCAGTGGAAGCCTTTGAGGAGGTTTCAGATAGCCTCTGTGTCCCTCAGTACAACAAAGAGGGGGAGGAAAGAGTGATCCTCTTCCTGAAGATGGCGTCGGACCAGGTGTTCAGTCAGGATCTGGTGAAAAGGATTAGGGATGCGATACGCATAGCGCTGTCTGCCAGACATGTTCCTAGCCTCATTCTAGAAACCAAAGGCATTCCGGTATGTCATGAAAACACTGCCTAATTTTTTTTTCTTGCTCACCTTGAGCAGTAATTAAGGAGCAGTTGTCATCGCTCTTCAAACCCACACGCCTGGAAATTTTAGCATCTTAAAAAGCATTTTCAAGTTTTATAAATAGTTTGTCTATGTTGCCTAGCGACTTCACTTTTTTTTTTTTTTTTTTTTTTTGTTTTTTTTGCATCTCAACTAAGCTTGTTTTGGGAACTATCCCTACCCATCCTTGGTTTATAAATATACATGTACCCTGCTGAGCTAAAGATTGTTATTTTTCTTATAAAATACTTTCTGTGCTTTCTCAATACATATTATAAAACTAATTTTAGCTTTTACGTGTGCCAAAAAGCTTTTGCTTGCCTTTTAGGTTTTTTTCCATTTCAAATGGTATGTTTTTGAAAGCTGAGAGCATTGAGCAAATGTTTGAAATCACTTTTACATCAGTTTTGCATTTCAATTTTAGGTCCATCCATATTTTTAACAATAGCTATAACTACAATAAGAGACCTTTCTCATTTGTCTAACAAATATATAATTACAGTCACACTATATATAGCACCAGTGCGGCATCATTTTAATGTCAGACACATTCTCTGCAACACAGCTATATCTTGCTCTGCCCATTGAATGGGCTCAGTGGAAATGAATCTTTTCCATCTTGAGCTATTCTAAATCTGTGATCTTAATATGGTGTGTTTAACAAGGCCAGGGAGAAAGGGAAGTCCCTGGTGATGGCCTTTATCTGGTCTAGTGTGCAGTTTTGTGAGCACGGGTGTGAATGTCTCGTACTTTAATGGGTATATTTGCATGTTATATAGAGATCTAGTCGTCTTGTCTCTGTTCTCAAGTGTGGGAAACCTTCTCTTCTGATAAAGCAGAGATGGACATCAAAAATACTTTCCCTGGTTTAACTTTTTACCTAAATTCAGAAAAAATATAAGCAGTAGTGAGAGAGCTTCCAGTAATTCAGTACCGATATGGAAGGCTGGAGCTGGGATCCCCAGAAAAGAGTATACGGTCACTAAATGACGGACTGTGTCATTGCTAAACCACAGGGGCTCCTTCTGCAAAGTCGAACACCTCGTTCCTTCCCAAGGAAAACCCTGCTGCCTCCACAGAGTGGTGGACACCTTTATACATTTGTTTGAGAGAGACGCTCCATTTTCAAACGTGTCTGTGCAGGTGAGCATGCTGGGCCTGATTCTACTCAACCATGCAGCACAGTAACCCGTCTTGTCTTCAGTGGAGTTACTGACACCCCCCTGTTGTAAGTCAGGCTTATGGAGCCTGGTCCCAGAGGAGCCTGCTTGGTGCTCCTCTGTCCTTCTTCCAACTCACTGGAGGAGCCTCTCCATTTTAAAAGCCCTATCCCCAGTTGCCACCTGCTGCTCTGTGAGCAGCTCACTGTTGGCAAGGCCGGAAGGTGCAGGGTAGTTCCTGGCAGGCCGTGTGCATATGAGCTTAAGTCTTCAAGCATTTTCTCTAAAGCACTATAAGCCTAATTTGGCAAACATTGATGCCTAGCTAAATCCAAATGTAGGCTCCTGACTCAGTGGCCTGCCTTTCAGAGGCACTGAGCACCAGGAGCTCCCATTTGGTTTCATACTTCAGGCAAGGGCCTGATTCTGGTGTCTGTTGGTTGCAGGGGAGTTCCTCCTGGCTTACACTGCTGTAAATAAGTAGCATTGGGCCTAGCATGTCTTGTTTGCATGAGGGTTAAAAAAAAAAAAAACAACCCACCTTTGTGACTTATCTCTTGAGTGATGATATAGATTTTCTAGACCGCAACTTTGGCTTCTACATAAAATGTTAAATTTCAAAGATGCATAAATCACCTGAATGTAAAGAATGAAGTTGATGGCAATGAGGCATTTATGAGAGCCAGCCCCTTAGGAATGCCTGCTTAGAGCGTTAATTAGTTCACACTGTGACTGAATTTACAATGGAATGAATTTTAATTATGTTTCAGATCAAATATATCCTCAGCAAAGTGATCAAAGCTTCTCTCCTTGCTTTCTTTTGAAGGTTTTACTTGGGAAGAAGAAAATCTTTCCATATACTGCTATTTCTAGATGTAAATTTGCGTTTATAAAAACAAACTACCTGCCCCTATCTAAAATTATAGGACTTTGAGCCTGGTGTCATTTTACACTGGTTGAAATTGGGAATAACTCTGGCATCAGTGGAGTTAGTGGTATAAGGCATCAGGCCTATATTTTACAAACTATCAAAAACGCTGGAAAAGGCTTGGAAATTATTTCATGCTTATAGTTATGTTTAAAGAACTTTTTTGCCTGTGCACAGATAATCTACAGTGATAAAGGGCTGTGCACACAAGCATCAATTTATATTGTAAATTTTTACAATATTCTTGATCTGGTCAGAACTCCTGATCCACTTTGACATCTACGCTGTCTTTGGACTGGGCTTGTGTTAACTGATACAAAACTGTGGAAGTCCCCTGCTGTTCTGTCTGATGGGTATTTGGTATGCATAAACCTTTCAGGGTTAGTATTTAGGGAATTAGAACTGGGAAAGGTTTGCAGTATCTTGACTGAACGAGCACAGTGGCCCCGATTTTTTTGGCAAAGCACTTAAGCATACACTTAAATGCTTGCTGCCAGCTTTTTTGAAACGTGTATGACCCGCTTTTCCCCCCCCCCCCCCCCCCAAAGAAAAGTGAACTTCCAGCAGCTCCCATCAACTTCACTGGGAATTCTAGGTCCTCCTCGCTTTTCAAAACCAGACTGGCAATCACTGAGGAAGAAGAGTGGATATTTAGGGTCGTGCAAGGGGATAAGAACTATGTAGTATTAAACAAGGGAAAAATTAGACCAAATACCTGAATAATTTCCTAACTATACAATGTTGCTAAAGACCATTTGGCCTGCTCTGAAAAATCTTTAATGAAAAGGTGTCTCAGAAGGACTAATTTCTGGGCTTCACCTTAAGGAGATCTAGCAAAGCAGCCAGTGGAGTCCCTGGTCCATATGCAGATGGACCAGCTCAGAGTTATCTTGCCGCAACTTCAGTTATCTTAACCAAAATGAAGATTAGACTAAACAAGGCGGCGGTTGGCCTGATTTTTCAGTACCAAACGATGCTCTTGTTCAACGGCTTCCTTGATGGAGACACCTTGTGCTCCCTAAAATGGGATTGACCATCCCTGCCAACAAGAGACAAGTCTTCCCTACTGGCTTTTGCCAGCCAAGAATTCCACTGTTTGGAGCACAGATTGGGAATTCTTCACTGCACAATTGCAGTAGTGCCTCGGTGAGCAACACTGAAACCCAAGCACAGAGAACCTATCTTTTTTGCCTCCTCATGATGTCTTGTTTCCACAGAAGCCGAGTTTTCTATCTGAATCTGTTTTGATTAACAGCAGTTAAACCTCTCGGGAAACAATTGAAAGTCCTTGAAATAGAATCCAAGTTGTGTAGCTTGGCTCCATCTCCAAGCTCACGGCTTTGAAAAGCAGGGTGTTGGTTTGGCCCCTTATAAAGAGATGGAACACTTCCAGAATTGAGATCAAGGTACGTGTGTACACATGCACGTATCCAGGGCTTCTTGGATCTAGGGTTTTGGTTTGGGCCTATTTCTAGAAAACCTAAAAAGCTGAAAATCAGGTGTAATTTTAAATGGCAGTAAGTTTCAAAATTTTAATTATTGCATCAAGGGGCTGATCCTGCTTCCCTAGAAGTAAATGGGAGCTGGCTTAGGCTGATGGTATTGTCTCTTAAAAACAAAACTAAAATCACTAATAAAACTCATCGAATTCAGTTTGCTTTTCAAACTGTTTAAGAAACTATTTGGTGTCAGGTGTAGCAGTGGAGGCAGGAATTCTGCGAGGGGTAATGATTCAATTCCAGCCTTGGTGGTGGCTTTTCCATTGGATCATCCATAAAGCAACCAGAGAAGAGTGCAGCTTCATTGGTGACTTTTTTTTAATTTTGCAGTACACAATAAATGGGAAGAAAGTTGAAGTGGCTGTGAAGCAGATCATTGCAGGGAAGGACGTTGATCAGCGGGGATCTTTCTCAAATCCAGAGACGCTGGACTTGTACCAAAATATTCCTGAGCTTCAGAATTTCTGAATGTTTGGTTTTTTGCATCTGTGTTCTGTGCTTGTACTGTATATATGAATACTGTATGTAAAGAAAACACTATTTAAATACCAGTGGTTCTTTTAAAGGAAAAATATTTTAAGTGCATTATGAAAGGCTTGGGTAAAATTTAGCTACTTTTTACCAGATGACTATGCCATATGTCTTGGAGTCTATCTTTAAGCCTGGAAGAGGGAAAACTGCCTGTTGGGTTTTTATATATGTGACAAATGCATCTTTTCGGGTTAGATTTATATCAACAACCTGGCAAACTAGAACCTGAATAGCAAACGGTTTCCAACTGATAATGGAATATGGTGTTGTTAAAACTGATTTTTTCCATTTTTTTTAAATGGAATTCAAGCTATTTATTTAAAACAAAAACAAAACACTGTTAGAGCCAGGTGCAGGGATTATGTGGCTTTTTTTTTTAAATTCTTGATGTTTGTCCTATTCAGGAGGGTAAAGGCATGTCAGCATGGCCATGAAATATAAAAGTATGGAATACTTTGTGTTTTTTATAAAGCCACATCTTAATTCACTGTATCTCTTATTTGACTGTCTCAGTTTGAGCACAGTCTTGAAATATCTCATTGTACCGTTGGAGGTAATTGCTGCTTCATTTTGTGATATCTTCACATAGTTTTAAGCTTTCAGCTGATATGTTTAGATTTTTTTGGGGGGGGGGGGGTGGCGAGAGGGAGGGGGACAAATGCTGTCACATTTCTGTTGGTGAAAATCTAGTGTGGTTCCCCCCCCCCCCAGTGGAATTACTCTGAATTTATATCAGTGTAACTGAGGATAGAATTTGACTTTTACTGCTCTAAAATCCATTATTAGAGTTCAAAGGCAAAAATCCAGTATTGCATTAGCTGAACAATTCCAGTGTATTAATGTAATAAAAGCCAATGTTTTTGTAAAACTTTTTACTATGTGATGTTGAAAGTGAGAAACTAAATTTTTTTAATTCTTTATCCTTCCAGTTTATAAAGGGGGGGGGGGGAACCTTTTACAAGTATGTTGACACTATAAAATGGAAACACACTGTTTTTCACAAAAGATACAATTGCAATAGGTATACAGAACCCCTGGCATTCAGCATCCCATGCACTATTTGAATATTGTGGGTAAAATATTTAATGCATTAAAATCATGGGTGTCCTTAATTGTGTTCAGTGCATTCATTGCTGTTAATACGTTAAACTTAATAAAAATGAAATAAACTGATCCTTAAACGTTGGTTTTCATTTTCACTCAATTGTCTCATTTGACTTTTTTCTTTCTGCGTGCTCTGGTATGATCTGATTCTTAGCTTAACTTCCTTTTTCTCTTCTCTTCCCCCCCTCCCACCCCAAACACTTTTTAAAATCTTTTTCTCTCCCCTCTTCCCCCAAAATTCCTACATTGTATGCTCCTCAGGGCAGGGGTTGCCATCTTCGTGTTACGTACAGCACTGGGCACGTGGCACATTACTGAGATGCGTGTTCATGTATGGCGTGTGGCGCATGTGAATAATGCGGAAGCAAGCCTGCCGGGAACGTGCCCCTCCTGCTTTACATCTACTGGCACTGTAATAAAATAGTATGTCAGGCTACATCGGGGTCCCCAACGTGGTGCCCGCGGGTGTCTAAGTGCGCCGGCGGACGAGCATCCGCCGAAATGCCTTGTTGGCGGCATTTCAGCGGATGCTCCTCCGCCGCCACGGTCCTCCGTGGCTCATCGTCTGGCGCCCGCCAGATGAAAAAGGTTGGGGACCACTGGGCTAGCACTTCACTGCAAAAAGTGTTACTATGGAGACAGCGAACACAATGTAAAATGCTAGTGGAGATAAGTCACTGGAGTTTTTATCTCTGTGGAGCTAGTAGAGGTCAATCCTGTCTCCCCCACATGTCTGGCATTTACCTCCCGTAGCTCTGTCCAGTATAAATTCCAGTGCCTTGTCTCCATTAGCATTTTACGTTGCGTTAGCTGTCCCACTGTAAATATACACCTTCTGCAAGGAAGAACATCTCAGGTCTGTATTACTGCACCTCTCATTCATTGACAAGTTGTAACTTGAATTGAACTTTTAGTTAATGTGCTATCAGAGCTAACCAAAGCTTTGATCAAAAAGGGACATCATAAGGAAGATCTAGAAAAAGGTGGCTTGAGATGCTGAAGGAAGATAAGAAGCTTGGTGTCAGTTTGGAAGATGTGTTTGAGATGAACAAGAACCGTTGCCCCATCTTGATGGGCTAAGACAACAAAGAAGAAAACTTTCCAAGGGGGGGGGATAAGACAAAGAAACATCATCATCCTAGGGACAGTGATTATTATTATTATTATTATTATTATTTGGGTCAAATCCTTCTCCAGAGAGAGAGAGCGCCTAGTAGGCAACACTGGGTGGTATAGTAGGTTTGCTTCAGGGAGCTTGCTTAAGGGGTCCACACCCCTGGAGTGCTGCACAGCTTTCTCTGGGGTCTCCATCTGCCCTAGCATTCAGGGAGGTTGCAGGATCATGGCAATCTGAGACTGTATCCCTGTGTTCACCCTTGTTACAAGACTATAATGGATTTTATACAAAGTATACCTTGTGAGTTTTCATTTGAAAACTCACAATGTGCTGATCATTATTGTCCTGGTAAAATATGTGGCAACATTGTATGTTTAAAAAAAAAATTAAGATTCTACTTTATAACATTATTGATACTTTTCCAAGTTTAGAAAAGCAGGCACAGACCGGTTCCTCGAAGACAAAAGGCAAACTGATGCCTCAGCCGGGTGTCGTCAAAATCAAATGGACCATCACCTGGTTAAGCAGCCATTCTTTGTCAGGAAAAAGGGTGTGAGTGAGAAATATACATGTTGGCAAAGAAACAGCTGGAAGTTCCCATCTCACAGACTGTCTCGTGAACCCCAGCTGGAGATGATTCTCAAAGGGAAGAAAAAGATATATAAAAATGGGGAACAGATGCTCCAAATGATCTCTCCCTTCATCTCTACTCATGGCATCAACACCACCTGAAGGACAAGGAAATTTAACACTGAACTAGGAGTGGTCCTGGCTGAAAAGATTCCAGCCAGTAAGACTGCTAAAGCATATGGTGAGAAATCTTTGCTTTGAATTCACTTAGCTTGTTAAGTTAGGTATTAGTTTGCGTTTTACCTTTTTATTTCTTCGTAACCTATTCTGATTTATGCCTCATTACTTGTAATCACTTAAAATCTCTCTGTAGTTAATTAAACCTCTTTTACTGTTTTATCTAAATCTGTGTGTGGGAAATGTCATTTGGGATAATGATATTTGTGCATATTTTCTATTAATGAAATATCAGACTTTATCTGAGCGTGTGTTGTCCAGGAGGGTACTGAGCAGTACAAGATGTACATTTCTGTGGCAAAGTCTGGGACTGGGAATTTGCTGGTGGTGTTCTGTAATTGAACATACTTGATGGGTTGGTGGCCAGTCTAGGGAGGGGTGATTTACGTGGTGGAGGCTGTGTGGGGGCAGGTCAGGAGTGGTTGATCTCACAGCAAAGTGGTGTAAAAGGCACCCCAGGTTGGAGAAGTGAGGACACCGCTGTCCATCAGTCCAGATTGTAGCCTGGGTAATGTCACACCATCCCAACACACAACCTTTTGTGGAACTCTTCTGCAACTGCTAATCTAGCTCTCTTCATTTCAGGAAGATGCGGGCCTGGAAACACCTTCCCGGCTTTTGGGGGTCCATAGAGCACTATTGCTAAGCCAAATCTGTTCTCAGTGGAATTTTTCGTTACTGGCTTTGAAACTTTAAACAAAAAAAAAAAGTGTAACAGGATAGTACCCCCAAAATCTTAGCCTTTCTAGCAAAGCGTTTGTGCATGTGCTTAACCTTGTGTATAAGAACAGTCCCGCTGACTTCACCAGGGATACTGGTGCTTAAAGTTAAGTACGTGCTTGTTTGTACCTTACACTTCAACTCCCCTAGAGCAATACATAATCCCTTTAATTGTCCATTATGAACAAGCAAAGGGCTGTAGCAAAAATTAGTCAGGTGTTGAATATGTAGTTAGTGGTATTGTATCAATGCCCTAATAGCCAGGCAGCCCTGTCTTCATGATTTGAACTGAACTATTGATCCAACTGTGAGGTAGCCCTTTTCTCAAACCGGCCCCGCCTGAGCTGGGTAAGTGAATAATGCAGTCATTGTGGGCAACCGCTTCAGGGCCACTGCGGATTGCAGAGATCTTTCATTGCCAAATGAGATTTTGAAACAAGCCAGTTTCCATGTGACTTTCTGAGCTGTGGCAGGGTAGACAGTTCGTCGTGCTAATGTGATGTGCGCTTCCATATAAAGGCTGTACACCCTCTAGAAATGTAGAGAAGTGAGTTGCTTAGCTGCCAGTAACCTATGATTAAAAGTCCCTCCTATGTACTTTGAATTCCCTGCTCCTCCAGCATGCTAAATATAAATTTTATATTAACTGTGTATATGTAGTCATTAAAACTTCATTACACTGTTCTTTAATTCATGCAAAATGTCTGGAGTTTATAGAGCACACAGATCCGTATAAGTAATTTTGGACTATTTCATTTATAAAAAACAGATGGTTTGGAGACACAGATATGTTGATGACATACCCAACCTCTAGGCATAGTGTGTGTGTGTGTGTGTGTGTGTGTGTGTTCAATCATGTCTCATATCAAATGCACAGTAGAAAGTTTCTGATTGTTAACAGATGGAATTCGATTTCTTACAAATTTCAGATTTAAAAGTAGTTTGGAAATGGCTTTAGTGCATAAACCCAACACTTGATGTAGGATAATATGCTGTTTTGCGTTTGTATAGTACTGCTGGTCTAAGGAATGCAAAGAACTCTAGAACCACTGAATTACACCCTGGCAGGTAGGCAAGTATACCTGTTTTACAAATAACCTCTTTCTGCCTCAGTTGATTTAAGGGTCTTTCACAAGGGCTGAGCATCTGCAACTCCAGTTGAAGTCAGTGGGATTTGTGAGTGCTGAACAGCTCTGAAAATCAGGCACTGAAATAACCTACCTAAGGTCACCTAGGAGAGGCTGTGGCAGAGTTGGGAACAGATCTTCGATTTCCTGAGTCCCACTCCCGCATTCGAATAACTTTCTTTATTAAAACCACCACCCCTAAAGCTAGGCAAAGGTAAATGCAAATCTCTTGTTTAAGTTAATTACGTCTACAAGTCTGGGTGCACCGGCTACATTCCACCCTATTGGGGAAAATACAGTACCAGGATAAAGCTGGTATGTGGTGCAGGGATAGACTGACTGGTCCTTGCATGGGAATGCAGGAGGAGTAGAGGGCTCAAAGAGCTTCTTTCCTTCAGGTCTCCATCCCCCTGTGCTCCCCTCTTAGGAGCTGGTGCATTGGGAGTCTTTGCACTTAGGGAGGTGAGGACAGTGCTGCCATTTGCAATAGCCTCCTTCAGTAGCCCTGTGCCCTGGGAGGAAGAATTGGCTGGACATCAAGGTGGGTTGATGCTGCAGCCTTCGCCAGGGTGGCGCAGCAGCCATGTGTTCCAGAGTTTGCAGAATGATTCCTGCTGGGTGCTGCAATTCTGCACTACTGTCAGCGTCTGAGCAGCATAACAGTCTTCACAGCAGACTCAGCTAAGCTCTTTTGACCACAGCATCAACACTGGGAGCTCATGTTCTG